ACCCCCTGTTCTACTCTAGCCCTCTTTGGTGGCACAGCTATTCTCAGTGGTGAACTAGACAAGGCAGCCTCGCTGTTCATCTCTTGATGCAATCTTCTCAGCCCAGGCTTGGGCTTGGAGGGCAAAGGCATCTCACCTGGTTGGTAAGTCCTAGAACTTCCCAATCCAGCCTCATTCGCCAGGTCACTCCCTGAGAGAGCCCCGTTTCTCCACCTCATCACTCTCATGTTCGGGAGGTCTAGTACTCCCCTCTCTCCGTATGCTGCCATCAATATGACTTCCGTGGGGCGGTCACAACGGTTGTCATGCCCCAAGATGTTTATCAGGGCGGTCAGCAACATGACTACCTCTGGGTCCTCCATAGCGAAGTCTCGATCCATTAGCCGACGATAGATCGCATCTACTATCGGTCCTACATATGCCTCTGCCAGGTCCATCATTTCATCCAAGTTGAAGTTATCCATTTTCTTTTCGGTTCGATTCGACTTGATTTGATGATTTGACTCAAGTGAGTAATTAAACGATCAGTCAGGATCTAGAAAAGAGGTCACGTTAAAATTTATTTAAAACAGTCAGATAAAAAGATTTTGATCCTAAAATTTTTTAAAATCAATCAGTCTCTAAAATTTTCGAATTCGACCTAAGATTGGACAATCCAAACTTTGGATCTATTCCTAAGATCGTCATTCAGCTGTTCGTGGTCACTAACTCCTTCTTAACCAGGATCTTAATAACCTAACACATAACATAACATAACACACATATCACACACTACACATACTTTAGTCTGACACCCTCTTGCATGTCACCTTAACTCAGCCTATACTTAAGTAATATTTCCTATGTAAGTATACTTGTATATTAGTATCAGAGAAGATTACGTGTATGAGCGCGTACAGTTCCCGAGGATGCAGTCATCCTCTGTTCGGATCGTACACTGGAAGCGAGAGCTCCTTCACTTCCCTTTCCACAAGGAAGTCTCTCAACCTCGTCAAGGACAAGACTAGGTTTTCCGGGTCCACGTGCCGCTTCTCCGTCGCCCGTGTCACTAAGAAGCATAGATATTTTCCGGTATCTGTGACGCCGCCGGAGGCAAGGCTGCTACGCCCTCTATTCCTGGTCTTTGCTTCCAATGGAAGTCTATGTTTTTATATTCACTCCTAAAATCCGCTGCTAATGCTGTCCTAAAACTCATGTCTGCTGTGATTGCTATCGCATATGTTCTATTTGTGAGTATGAAATTGCTGTCTGTTAGTATTATCTACTTAAATATTTATTTGGTAAGTTAAAATATGACTCAACTACCCTCCCTATGTCCGGGTTCTTTGAGTTTTCGCCTGTTTCTGCTTCTAAATCCCCTGTCTCTCTTGCGATTCTTAATTTTTTTTTAAATAAAATTTCAGTTTGGGTAAGTCCTACCCCCACTCCCCGGACAAAAATATCCATCGACGTCCCTGTCGATCGCATACCGCGTATCAAGTCGAGGTTGGAAGCCGGAATGAGTAGTCGCCCATCCTGGGCAGCCCAGGAAGGATCTTCTCGTTCGGTTTTCCTGTATTTCATGCTTTCACGATCTACATCTTGAATTGTGACACTGGTCTCCTTTGGGTCCGACGTCATTTGTTCAGCCATTCCAAGACACGCAGATTCATCAACTCTTGTTCGTAGGATTGCTGTTGCTGGTCGTCGAATTCTACCTCGGGTTTCGACCGGTCATCGACCCACTCATCGTCGTGATCATCAAGTCTGTCAATTTCCTGTGACACAGTTATTTCTTCTAGACCCACTACTTCTTCCCCTATCTTCTTTAGGTCTATCCTGTCCACTACAAAGTCGTCGCCGTAAGGATTATATTTCCTCTTGGATCTTGTCCTGCCATTTTATCGAGTCTGTATCGTGAACGGAAGTTTCGGTTCCAAGTTCTTGGGAACCTCCCTTTGTTCAGGGTCTTGCCAGTCCTCTTCTGCGTAGGTTAAAGTTTCATCGTCTGCTTCAATCGCCGCATTTGGGTCCAGGTCAAGTGGTGTACTTGTTCCTTCCTCAATGACTTCATTTCCATCGTTCTTTTCCCTGGTGCCCTTCTCATTGACCTCACAAGCAGGGTCCATCATTAGATAATCCCCCTCTTCCATGTCTGCAGGTATACACCAGTCTTCTGTCGATGGGTTGTGTGGCTTAATGTTTTCGTAATGAGCGGTTCGGCCAGTAATCAGTCTATAGAAGCGTCCCTCTTGGTGCACCTCCGTAATCATGAAGGGTCCCCTCCATTTTTTTAGGAGCTTTTTCGTTCCTTTTGGTGGTATGACGTTCTGAAATACCCATACGTAGTCCCCTACCGAATAAACTTTTGCACCAGCTGCTTTCTTGTCAAATCTTTTCCTCTTCCTTGCCTGTGCCTGCTGAGTATTTCGTCTACATAAGTCGTTTAAATCCTGCTGACGTCTTACGTCTTATTACATCCTTTACATAGACCTGTGGTGACGTCTTCTTACCCTCATACTCTGGGTAGAAGAAATTCAAGGACAATGACTTCTCGTGCCCGATTAGCATCATATGTGGACTAATTCCGGTGGTGGAATGCTGCGTGCTGTTGTAAGCTCCCATCACCTGTGGAAGATATCTGTCCCAATCGGTCATGTACCTGGAACAATATTCCCTCAGCATCGACACTAACGTTCTATTTTGCCTTTCCACTAAGCCATTCGTCTGAGGATGGTATGTCGTGGAGTGGGCCTGCGCCACCTGCGAACGTCGCATTAGCTCTTTTGTAAGTTCTCCCACGAAAGCTGTTCCGTTATCCGATTGAAACGTCATCGGGCAACCATGTCTCGCCATCCACGTATTGATCAGGTGGTCGCACGTCTCTTCCGCTGAGGCAGTTATGCAGGGCACGGCCTCTGCATACTTCGTGAAGTGATCTATCATGACCAAGACTTGATTAAAACCACTGTCTGTCATGCATATCTTTTCGTGATCTATCTGCACCACCTCGTTGAATTCAGACGACTCGATCGAATGTAAAGGAAATCGCAATTTCCTTGGATCCTTGACCTGTTGGCATGACAGACATGCTGTTACCCATTTCTCGCATGCCTTTTTCATTCCAGGCCACTCAAAGCGCTTCAGGATCCTCTGATATACTTTGTCGATCCCCTGATGGCCCATCTGTTCATGCGACCTGAATAAGAGTTCTGTCTGATAGAGTTGCGGCAAGACTATCGCGTTATACTTGTATAGGACTTTGTCTTCATCTCTTCTCTTGCAAGCCACAATCCCGTCCTTGTTCAAGTATAAACTTCCCTCTTTCTGCATAAAACACTGTCTCAGAATGCGTTAACTGTCTTCCTCGAGGTCTCCTTTGTCCGGAGAACCATTTTCGATCCACATTTTCAGGTTGCTTGTCATGCGGTCATTTCTCTGCGCTCTTAGAAGATCCGAGAGTCTGTATCTCGCCTTTAAGTACGTCTTCATGACCCTCATCTGACTATTCAGCTCATTGGGCTGATGCGTATCTTCTCCCATCTTAACGCACCAAATCTTTGCCAATGGCTGTGTTTCCTGTTCGAATGGCTGAAGATCAGTCCTGACTACCTCTTTTTGTGGCAACAGACTCATCGAACGTTTCGATACCGCCATTGTTTCCAGATCATTCGCTGCGTTATCAAAGACTCTTTCACCTGGTATGAGGTAGCGATCACTGTCAGGGTCCTGGTATACCTCTCTATCCAGATTCCTTGCTCGAATTTCCACTAGTAGTGTGTGGATCGCTAGTTCTGACAGTTCCGATCCTGAGCTCGAGTTCCTGTCTGAGTAGGTGTCAATTCCTGAGTTTCGGGAATTGTCATCTGTTGAAGAGTCTGCGACGGAGTCTGCACCATCTCCTGGGTCAGTTCTGTGCTTTCTTCGCATCCATTTGAACTCCCCGGACAAAACTTTGTTCTCCATGTCCTGTTTCTCATCAGGAACTCTTTCGTCTACATCACACTCCCCGGACAAACTTTGTTGTCCCGGGTGTTGATCTTGAACTCGCCGGCTCTTCTCACCGTTCGTCTCCCCGGACAAACAACCTTGCACCAGGTTTTGTTCAACCTTCTCACTTTCTTTATCCTGGACCACAAAGGTAACGGTTTTCTTCTTTTGCGTATCGTTCCCCCGTTCTTTCCGACCGTACGAAGGACTGGTTAAAACCTCGTGTGGTTTTGAGGATACTAGTTGCCGAACTAATGTTCTACAATCCCTCTCAATTTCTTTGTGTTGTCGTCTGGACGGCATGATCTTAACCTTCTCACTGACTGTCAGTGATGCCACTGCTGCTGCCCACTCGGGGTCATCTCTGGTCACTTCTCTCTCTAACAATCCACCCAGCATCCGCATCACTTGCGGTGTGACCTGCACCGTTTTATCCGATGATGAGAGGCTGTTAATGTTCATGCGAGAGAGTTCCTGCTGGATCAGGTTCGAGCGCAGCAACAGATCCAAGGGCACCGGGTCCTTCTTGTATAGGATATTTATCTCGGCTGCCTTCTCTACCGGTAACTCACAATGTCCTGGAATTGGATGTCCAGACTTGTCCAACCATCTCGTTAAGGGAAGCGCTTCATAAGTTTCTTTGTCCAGAAACGAGAATCCTTTCTTTATTTCTGCCTGATTGGCCTGATTCTGTTCCAGTCTCTCATAAACTCGGTTTTCTTGCTGAGGCTGTCAGCATTTTGGTGTTTGTCACGCATCCTGTGCTCGATTATTATGTGGTAGCCATTTAATCTTACTATCCACCTACCAATATAACTCTGATCCATCGAGTATGTCTTCAACCAGGATAACGCCCTGTTGTCCACGCGTCACTTAAAGGGAACGCTCCTCAAGTATGCGCGATACTTTTCCACAAATGTAACTACTGCAAACATTTCTGCTTTTGGTGCACCATATTTCATCTCAGTCTCACTTAACACCTTACTGCCATATGCTATGGGACGGAGAACGGTTCTCCCATTCCATTCTTGCTACTGATGCAGTATTCCCGAGATGGCTACGTCAAGAACTGATGCGTCTGATGCGTCTGTGTCAAGAACATACGTGCCCTTTTCAGTAGGCATGCCTAGCACTGGCGCCTCGCACAGCTCCCGTTTTATGTTCTCAAAGGCCGTTTGAGCTTTATCGCTCCATTCGAACTTTTCCCCTTTGTTGCGCATCAGCTTCTGCATCGGATACACCTTGTTTGCATATCCTTTTATGAACTCACGGTAGTAGTTGGCAAACCCTAGGAAGCTCATGAGCTGTGTGTCCGTTCTGGGAGCCTTCCAAGTCAACACCGCTTCCACTGCTTCCGGGTCCGGCCTCACACCATGCCTGTCCACCATTCTTCCTAGATACTTGATCGAATCCCTCAGGATTTCACACTTCGATGGTTTGCATTTCAAGCCTGCTCTTTTCATGCATCCAAATACCTCATCAATGTGGTCTTCCAGGGTCGGTGTTGCTATGACTACGTCATCCACTTAACACATCACAAGATTCCCGACTTCTTTGTCACTCTGGTCAAAGCCTGAGCCATCAGTCTTTGAAAAGTGGCCGTTGCGTTGCACAAGCCGAAGGGCATCCTCTTCCACTGTTACAACTCCAATTCACACGCGAATCCGGTCTTTTCTTTATACTTCTTCCGCACAGGGACCTGCCAGAAGGCAGAACCCAAGTCCAATGTGGTGAAGAACTTGGCATCACCAAGTTTAGAGAGGCTCTCGTCTATTCGCGGTATCGGGTACGCGTCTTTTAACGTTACCGCATTCAAGTAGCGAAAGTCGCAGCAAAACCTAAGCTGCCCCCTTTCTTTTTTGCCATTACTACCCCGCAAGCCCATGGCCATTTCGAGGGTTCTATCAAGTCGTATTCGAGCAACATTTCTATTTCCGCTCGGCACGCTTCCGATTTATGTGGCGTCATTCGTCTTGCGCCTTCCCTATGGGGAACGGCGCCTTACTCAAGTTCGATTTCGTGTCCATTGAAATTACAGCAACCGATATCCGTTTATGTTTTGAAAATACATCCGCGTTCCGATTTAAAATCTCCCTCGCCTATTTTCCCTTTTAAGTGTTCTATCTCTCGCCAAAACCGGTTTGTCTGACTCTAGTTCATATGACGAGGGGCATTCCGGAAAATTCGAGCAGCTCGATAAGCCGTCGTCTGTTTCGGATTTCATTGAAAACAATTCATGAATAGATTTTAATTCTTTAATCCTTTTAAAAATTTTACCTTCATTGGCATGGTAAGGACAGTCTTTCACACTATGTTTCTTCAAGTTTTGTGTGTCCTCATAGTCGGTCCTCATCGGCAAAGCATAACCAAGTTTCTTTCCACGCTGGATTGACCCGTGGTGTCCAGTGTGTTCAATAACACACTGACACACAGTCCGTTTCGAGTTACCGAGAAGCTCCGGCCTAAAATCACTGAACTTTGACTATTTGGATTCGGTACCAAACAAACCTGTTTAGTATCACTCAACGAATTTAAACTTCTCATTCTAAAAATTGCTACTACTGCTTGACCCGGCTGTAGTTTCACTTTTCTATCTAAAAAAATTGGTACCTTGTTTTCGTCTGCTATTATTCTATTAATTGGTTTCTTAACATACTTTCAATCCGGGTTCCTAATCCTTATTAGACCGTTGTTCAGGTCAATCATCACGTCAAAATTCCTGACAAAATCTCTGCCCAAGATGAATTGGCCGGCGTTGTCCAAATTCTTTACCACTAGGAAGCTCATCCAAAGATCCCGTCCTCTCATGTGGAGGACCATTATTGGTGTTCTTCCGGCTACGTAAACCGCTCCTCGGTTGGCTGCAGCCAGTCTGAGATTCGTCGGAATTAGATCTTCCCTTGTGAAGCCCATTCTTTCCCAAGTCTTTATCGGCATCAAACTCACTACCGCTCCCGTGTCCAGAAGCACTGTGACTCCGATTTTCTTTCCGTTGGTGTCGAGCAGATGTGCAGTCACATCTGCTTCGTATCCAATGTGTACTGCGTCTTGCTCCATCATGGCGTCATGGCCTATCCTGCGGACTTTGAGTTCCTCCTCGCCCATATAGATCTGCACTATATGGTCACTGTCTGTTGTCACGTATGTCCTAGTGTAGATTCTGATTCCATCTACGTTCAGCATCACTTGATACGGTCCATAGACTTCCACGTAGCGCCCATGAAGCTTCTTCATGCGAGGGCTACCCGTTGTTAGTAGTGCTCGCACAGCTCTCGACTCATTGCGTGGCTCCGCCTGCCTCAGATAATCTGCATATGTGTCCAAATGCATCAAAGTGAACTCTGATGGTTCACTCAGATTTCTGACTACCTGGTGTCCTGCTAACGAGATTATTGACTGTATTTTGCTTCCTTGTGGCACCATACCGAACCTCTGCCAGGAGATCACATTAAATTTCATGCTCAAACTACTTGGTGCCTTTGTTTCTTCGACTTCCGTTGCCTCGAAGGTATTCAGCTTCTTCTGTAGTTTCTCATTTTCCAATTCGAGCTTCACTTTTTGCTCGATCTCTTTTGTTACCAGTTCCTGTTGCACTCTATTTAGAGCATCCCTCGCGGCTGCCCTATAATCAATCTTGAAGTCATCCGCTGCAGTCACCGGTTCCGGTTCACATGTCTCTTCTGTTACCGCTTGCATTTTCTTCGTTGCCAGCTCTTGTGGTTTTTCTTTTCTGCGCGCCTCCGCTTCACTCATTAGGCGAGCCTTGCTGGCTTTCACTCCCGATAAAGCTTCCTCGTGCCTTGGAAGCTTGATGTCTGCTACAGCATCCCAAAATTGCGGACAACCCAATTTAAAATGACCTTCTAGGTTGCAAAAGAAACACCTCGGGCCGAATTTTGCAATTACTCCTCTCATGAAATCTTCATGATCAACTTCTGACAAATCTTCGTCCTCGAGGCTAAATCCTATTGCCCTGTTTATAAGTTGAGCATGCTGGCACATGATGGTCCGTCGAACTGCAATTTGCACAAGAGCGCCTCTTGTCCATATCGTCCCTCGGTTTATACCAGTTGTTCCCTTGGTTTGCTGGTCCGTTGTTAAAATTGACATAATTGTTCTTGTAATATCCAGATCTCGATGGAGGTTTCAGTAAAATATATTCTTTTGACTTGAGCCATTGGTTGATAGTGGTGTGTAATGCGTTGCTAACATTGTTCGAAAATCATCATTCTTCACACCATCGATGAATTTTGAGGCTACCGCCAGCTTCATCCTCCTGTTCGACTCGTCCGGTTGGCTGCGCCTTCTAAGCGTCTCAAAATCGTCTAGAAACTTGTCTATCGTCTCATCTTCTCGTTGCCTCTTTTTCTCGAAGCGCATCATTGCTTGGTGTCCCTGCACCCCTGAGCCAAAACGATTTAACAAGAATTCAAAAATTTTCTCAGCAGTATCCCGCTGATATTGCCTTTTGGCCATCATACGGTTTAGAGCTGTCCCTTCCAAGTTACTGGTGAGCGCACTGCACTCTTGCCTTTCTGACAGGTCTTCTTCCTCAAAAAGCAGTTTCATCACCTCTATCCAGGTGTCATTGCAGCTCTCAGATTCGTCTTCATAGCATCTTGGTTTCTTAAAGACTCTTCTGGACTTTTCACTGCGTTCATTGGTTCTAGATAACCTCGTCAGGAATGTCTCCAAAGACCGGTTTAGGGGTTGAAAGGCTGTGGCCATTGCTGTGGCATCTCTTGAATGCCCCGCCTGAGTATCATTGCCCCCTGATAAGGGTTCTGTATTTGGTACATCCCTACTATCCGTATCGCAGGGATTGCTTCTTCCTTGGCTCGCATGACTCAGCCCTGGGCTCACATGACTCCTGTTCCTGGAATCACATCTCCCCGTCGCACGTGTGCCTTGCGTCGGTCGTTCGTTTCAAGTCTGTCTATTGCCAGTTGAACTCCCTCTGAAGTTTGGGCCCCATGCTCTACTATCCCCTGTGGCATAGCCTGCTGAGCTGCCTCTACTTCTAGTGGATCCATATGTCCTTCTCCTATTCAGTTGGTCATTGAAGATCACCCTCGGCTCCCTGCTGGGACCTCCCGAGTTCGGTTCCCCTTCTCTCGGTCCACTCTTGCTGCCTAGTAGCCCTTCCAACCTATCCATGATAGCCTGAGTTCGCCTCTCCATCATTGCATCTATCTTTGTGCCAAGAGTTCCAAGAGACTGCTCTTGTTGGATTCTTAACTTCTCCATGTCGTCCCTTAATCTTAACTCTCTCTGTTCCGCTTATCTTGTCATTCGCGACAAGTTCTTCGTTATGTTTTTTTTCCTTCAAGCGTTTTTCGCTTCTACCAACTTCTTGTCTATTGCGTTTTATTTCTTCCTGCAGACTTTCTCTTTCAACGTAGATTGCTCTCTCTAGTTCACTCATTCTTATGAACGTCTGTTCATTTTGCTCTCCTATACTGCCCACTGTGTTGTTCATGGCTTCTTCAATTGATGCTCCGTTTTCTACTAGTGGCGTCACAAGTGGCGGTGTCACCCTGTCGATCCCAGGTAGCTTGGTACTGGTCGAGATTCGGGCTTTGATCCTCTGCCTCGACGTCTTTTCATTATCCACCTCTGGATCCGCCGATGCGTTGCTTAGCCCTATGTTTCTATTCTCCCCAGTTCGCGTTTCTGAATTCGCCATATTGACAAAGTCTCTTGACTAGCCTGATGTGTTTGTGGTTTTGCTTATTGTCCTCACTACACCAAATTGGTCCATGGTACCAGTCCCTCTGTCGGTGTATGCTTCATTCTCCTGAGTCGAACTATTGAGGCTGACTTGAGATCCAAAGTCAGCTTGCTCTTCATCGTCCTCTTCTTCTTCCTGGGATTCACCTTCATCTCCTGTACCCACTCCCATGGTGAATGGAAAGATGTTTCCGAAAGTGTACTTCACTCTTTCTGAAAACGATGAGGACGTTGCCTGTTTCTCCGTCACGCCTGCCATCATGTTGTTGTCTGTGGGAGATTTTCTAGTTGCCACAATTTCAGTAGAGATGTCGGAAGGTTCCGCCAGCCTTCTGTTTCCTCTCCCCTCCGGTCCATAAATTTCCCGGTTCTCATTCATGGCCTGGTCCGGATGGACCTCCACTTCTAGCATGGCTTTTTGCTCTTCTGAGGACTTTTGACTCCTGGTTTCAACCTTTCTGCCTGAAACCGTCTCCCCTTTGTCGGTCCGGGTTCGTGTGATCCTTTCCACAAAAGCGTCGGTCATTGCTCTTCTCTGTATCTCAGGTATGAATTTCCTGGAGCTGTCGCCTAGTTTAGGTATCCTTGACTTGTCTATACTCAATTTACCACTTCTTACTTCCCATACACTCAATTCGATTGCTAGTGTCCTTTTGAT